CTCCTCACTCAAAACCCTCTAATTGCATCCTAACATAACCTAGAATAAAATCTCCAATCCTTACCATGGCCTACATGGTCCTACATGTGCTGACTTCTGCTTTCTCCAACTTGCTTTCAAATGCTCTCCTCGATCACTCCACCCCAGATACCCAGGGCATTCTTCCCATGTCCCAAACATGAAAAGCTTCTTGCATTTGCCATTCTCTGTATATTCCTCCAGAATTTACATGGTCCATTCCCTCACTTCACTCAGGCTTCTGCTCACATGTGACCTCTTCAAAGAGGCCTTCCCAGGCACCCTATGTAAAATTGACTCTACCCTTCATGGAGAAGAGAATTAAAAATTAAGAATTGAGGAACTGGCTGCCCACAAGATTGTCTGAGAAATGAGTAAGTATGCAGTGTGAAGATGAGTCGTGTTCTGATTGAGCAAGACCACACTGTTAATTACTGAGACACATCCTCCTTCATAACAACCCAAGTTTTCAAACTCGAAAAGGACAGATTTTGATGTTCTTATTTCCACAGAATGCTCCAAACAAGGCCACCCTATTTATTACTATTTTCCAGAATACAAAGCAGGGTGAGGAAGATGTGTTAACTGGTCAGAATGAAGTAATAACTCAAACCAAAATCTGGGGTGGACTATGTATCAAAAAGAGATTACTTGGGAGGTTTCTGCTTTCAGGATGGCTGAAGAAGCTCCTACCAGACCCAAACCTCCTGCAGATGGTAACTATAAACTCTGGACAAACATACCAAGAAAGCAATTTCCTGAAGGCGAGCAGAAGGTGGCAAATTCCAGAGAGGAGCTGAAATTAAGGAAGGAATTACCAACATGAGTAGAATCACTGTTGCTTTTACCCTGACAGTAGGCCAGAGTCAGCACCATGCAGAACAGCTAAACTCATATACAACATCCAAGTCTTTCTAGACTAAAGGACAGGAGGGAAGAGTTTGGGGCAAAAACAGCCCTCAGAAAGAAAGGAGATTCCAGAAAAGAGAGAGCCAGATAGAGGGAGCTCCAAGTTCTATGTATAAACTACCCAGTCTCTGGCCCACCTCTAAACCATGTGTGCATGCTTGGTGCTGTCTGTAAAGAGACCAACAAAAGATAAAAGGATTGAACTAACATTTGAGTTGCTGCTCCAGAGACAGAACTTGCAGTCTGAGTCCAACAGAATAAATTACTTGTGAAAACTAAAATATCAGTACTTTTCAGAGAAATAAAACAAAATCCACGGTCTTCACAATATAATATTCAAACTGTACATAACTATGTGATGCACCAAGAACCAGGAAAACATGACCCTCAAGAAAAAGCAAATCAGTTAAAACAAATCCACCAAGTGACCTATATGTTGGAATCAGCAGAAAAAGATGCTAAAGTAGCTATTATAACTATGTACAATAAAGTATACTCAGAATGGGAAAAAAAAAAAAAAAGGAAATCTCAGCAGAGAAACAGAAACTATTATTTTAAAAACATGGATATTCTGGAACTGGAAAATACAACATTTGTAATTTTAAAATTAATTGGATGCGCTTAACTGTAAGATGACACAAAAGTCTGTGAAGTTGATGATAAATCAAGAGAAATTATCAAAACTGCAGAATAGAAAAAAAAAGTTAAAAAAATGAACAGATACTGAGAACTGTGGGACAAAATCAAAATGTCTAATATACATATAATGAAGCCCCCAAAGGAGAGGAGAGAAAGAACGGAAAAGAAAAAAATATCTGAATAAGTAATGAAGTAAAAATTTCCCAATATATGATGAAAAAAAATTGACAGATTTAATTAAGCAGCTTAGTGAATCCCAGTCAGAACACAAATCAAAGAAAACCATACCAAGGCATATCATACTCAAACTGCTGAAAACCAAATAGAAAGAAAAAGTCTTAAAAGCAGCCAGAGAAAAAGAACATATTCCACATGGGGAAACAAAAATTTGAAAACCACTGACATACCATCAGAAACAAGGGAGACCTAAAAACAGTGGAACATCTTTAAGATGCAATGAAAGTGGTCGTGCCCAACCCAGTAAGTTTTTGGAAGGACTAGCTTTCAAATCCCTTGGCATAATACTTCTCTCCACTTGACTTCCATTAGATAGTCTTTGTTGTTATGTTCCCAGAGCTAAGGAATCTGATTCAACTGTTTACAAAGCAGGTAAGAGACAGAGCAGTCACCCACCATCACCACGTCTGTTCAGCAGCCCCACACCATTCTGAAGAGACAGCTACTTCAACTAAAGGCACTTCCCCTATCTCTCTGGGTAGAGTCCAGTCACCTTGCCCAGGCCCTATCCCATTTGAACTGAAGAGAATTAAAGCATTCAGGGTAAGAGTATCCAAGGATGGTGGCAGTAAAGATCACATTTACTCTAAGCCGTTTCCAATGTAGTTTCCCCTTTGTTATCTAAATAATAGACAAGAATGAGGAATTTTAATATACAAATACCTGTAGGCACCCCTAAGACAACCCCTCTATACTAAAAACCTAGGGCTCAACAGATTTCATAGCCCACAAAATATTTAACATTTATGCCTAATGCTTAGATGAGAACTTGAGCACAAGAGAAGCACAAATTGCCCATCATTTTCTGAAATGGTACATGGGTTCCTGGGTTGATTCAAATATGCTGATTTCAAATCATTTTCCCTGAAGGACTGGAATCTGAGAGATTTCCTGGGAATCACCCTACTGCTCATTTTAGAAAGACCTGTTAATAATAACATAATGGATAGGTAAGTCTACATCTCAGGTAGGAAAACTACTCCATGAGGCTTACTCTCTAAGTCTCAGTTTCCACAGACATAAATAGTGCCATTTCATAATAGTGCCATTTCTCCAGAGGGAAGAGAGCTGCCGGTCCCTTCTAGTCTCAATACCTGGTAATGTTGGCTCTATGCCCAAGAGGCCAGCAATTAAACCGCTGCCCAAAAAAACCTGCTTCTCTTAAATAGAAAGCACAGTCAAAATATTTAGAGAATACAGTGAATTCTCCAGCTTGAAACTGTTTCCTCTTTTTCAGAAGAACTAGAAAAAACTGGTTTCGCTAATATGAGCAAGCTATTCAGAATGGCCTCCCATTTGGGAAGTTTCTGGCATTTTCCAACTAGGCATTGTATTATTGCAATGAGCTGCCCAGTAATCAAAGAGGACTACTTATTTCCCACCAGAGTTAAAAGAAAGGATTAGTTCTGGTAAGTTATCCAACAAATTTCAGTCATTGTTGTTAACAAGGTGGCACTGGCTTCTCTACATCCCTACCAAATTCAAAGAAAACTCAGGAAAAATGGAAAACAAAGGCTGTTTTATTATTCTATTTGAGCAGCATCCACCTTTCACAGAACAAATGTTTTTTTTTCTTTTAATTTCAGTGACATTTAAAAAGTTGTAACGGAGAAAGAAAAAAGTGAAATTTATTTGAAAAGAAATCTATAAAGAAATCTTCCCATTCACAATACTTTTCTTAATATATAAGATAAATTCTGGGATCAAAAGTTTTTAGAACCCTACATAGTCTGAAGAGACTCGGATTATAAATTCACTTAAAAAAAAAAAAGACTAGCAGCGATAGAAAGAAAATTTAAAACAAACAGTTATATAGGAGAAGGTAAGCAGTAACAGTTATGAAACAAAGGGAAATTATGCAGAGGATAGAAGAAGTGAGTCAAAGTTGTCCATAACACGGGCGGCATATCCATACTGCCTTCCATCTTCTTGGACATGAAGGGATAAGTAGGAATCAAACAATTATTGGGTACCTTTCTAGATTCCTTACTTATATTATTTTATTTTCCTCTCTAATCCTTAAGTCAAAAAAGTTAATTAACTCATCAAAGATCACAAAATTGACTACTTAATCCCAGATCTTTATTACTCCCAAACTCATACTGCCCTATTATGCCATGCTGCTGCCCAGAAAATATTTCACATGAATCAGTTTCTTGCTGATATCATTTTAAAAACCAGTCTAGCATAAACATTCCCCTTCTAAACGGATTCTTCCTTAAAAACTACACTAATTTTCCTAAGCAAGCTTCTAGCAATGCAGGGCCCATCGGAACTTCTGCCTGTTTGCTACCTTTTTCTGGAAAGCATCTATGCCACAGGGTAACTAGTGGCAGTTTGTTTGCTTACGACTTGCTCTAAGGCCTCACATTTAAGATAAATGGGTCATCTTCTAGATTGCCAAATTTATGCCAGAAGGTGGAGAAACAAAGTCCTCAGAACTAAAGCCCTATCCTGCATAATTGACTATTATTTTTCCTGTAAAATATGGCATCCAAATCATGACAGATAAGATAAGGTAAAGAATGAGAAAGAACCCGTGAGAGACTATAGAACAGGTTCAGGATCTCCAACTCCCAAATATTTCAAACCCCAACTCCAATCTTCCAAAAAACCTCTACAATATCCTGATAAAGAAACGGATCTTCTTGCTAAATCTGGGAGGTGACTGAAACTGGAATCAGACACACTAAAGCTCAGCTCGTCCATGATTTGTCATGATTATGACCTTGGGTAAAAGAGTTAACCTCTCTAAGTCTCAGTTTCCACAGATATAAAGTGAAGAAACCATAATAATGATGTAAGTTCTATAAATCCTAAATTACACTGCCTGGGTCATTTGCACTTCCTAAGTATTAGCTTTGTCATCATCATTCTCATCAACATCTTTGTTATGACATGGAAGACATCAACAGGGCAACCAAGGGGCTTTTGTAAACCTTCATGGAGCCAATACTGATTTCAGTTTTGGTGAGTCTTAGCAGATTTAGGAAGTGAGTAGCAGAGATGGAACTGGCAAGGCCTGAAAAGACCGAAAAAGAAGCAAGGAGAAACTCCACGGGGAAAGGAAATCTGTATAGTTAAAAAAAAAAAAAAAAAAAGTCACGTTTACAAAGATACACATATATATTTGGAAAAGGGATTACGAGCGAAATGCTATCTCATGCAGTAAAACAAACTGCTCATTTTTCTATTACCATGATGGGGACGCCAATGTCGGGCCACAGAAGGTCCTCCGACGGTAGCTTGGGAGAATTCCATACCACCACTACCTTGTTCAGGTAAGGGAGGCCATTCAGTCTCTCTAGAGAGTTCATAAGCACTTCCTCCCGTTCATAGGTCAACATCACCACTGTGAACTGCTCTCGTGGAACATTGCCTCCAAGTGCTGCCTGAAACTCCTTGCCAGAACCCCCAGCTCCACCCCCAATAGGCCGAAATCCTGTCCCTGAGCCCAAGAATTTGGCCTCTGAGGGCAACACAGGGTCAAAGGGTGTGTGGGGGAACAGATGGAAAGGCCCCGGAGCAGAGTTCCAGCTGCGGTAAAAATCAGTGACAGTCAAAGTAAAGTTGCGGAGGTATTTGGGTGAGGCATAAGGCGGCTCCGTCTCTACTGGCCCCAGGTCCAGGTCCCCATTGTCGGCCATGTTAGGGTCAGTTCCAGCCGCTTTGCCCGACCGATGGGGGATCTCAGCTGCTGCCTCTTCCCGGATGGGAGCAGCTGGGATCTGTATGCGAGTCCTAATCATAGCCAGCACGGTATTAAAAATACTGTCAGCGGTTGAGAAGTAAGTCTCCCAGAGAAAGCGGCCTTGCCGCCGCATAGCCAGCAGATCACTATCTGAGAGGCTTCGTAACAGAAAATGAACCTCGGTAACACGCGGCTTGGGCACCACCAGGGCTGCCTCATTCCACTGCAGCATGTCCTGGTAAGGAAGCTGTACTTGCTCCCCTAGCACAACTGGGACAGCACCAACTTCCAGGGCTTCAAAGAGCCGTGTTGCACACCCAGATGAAATAACCAAGTGAGGGTCCCCAGGAGTGATAATGAGAGCGAAGGTGGAAAGCTTCAGTAATTCCAAGCGGTCCTCACGCTCACCACACAGTGCCCACTCAGTAGGCAGACTGGGTTTAGGCTGGTTTTTGCAGGTAAATTCTACCAGGACCTGATCTAGCCTGCTGTCCTGTACAGCCTTTAAGGTGGCAATGATACGATCATCGTAGTCGGCTGGAGGGTCACCTTCCATTTCTTCTTCAAAAGAGCGGGCCTCCTGAAGGCTGGATCTCAGTGATTCAATCTTCTCACCCTGGAAGGTGAAAAGATATTTCCGCTTAACTGGCACCTGTGGTGGGATTTCCATGAAGTTGGGCTCCGACATGGCATGCACTAGTGGCGATACTACCAAGTCAAAGCCAGGTCTGTACTGGGAAGCATAGAAAGTAGACTGAGCCACCATGGCACGGCCTGTGCTGACATTATATAGTAAGTTCTGTGTATCCGACTTCCGTGACAGATTGATGATGACATGGTTGTGTCCATCCGTCCGCCAATGTGGTAAAGAAGAGAGCTGCTTCTCAAGTTCGGCAGGCCGAAGCACTACTGGCTCTTGTATTTCTCCCACTAATATCACATAAAGGCAGGCAATGTCTGCATTTTCTGTAACATACACGTTGGCTCGTGCTGTAGCCTGAAAAGCCTGCTTGACCAAGGGATCCAGGTAGCTGCCAAAGGCAAACTGGTCACTGTCATATACATAGACTGGAAAACCGGAGGTGAGAGGACAGCGAGAATAATCGAAACAATTGTGCAGCCGGCATCCCCGTATGACCTTTGGGGGAGGAAGACCAGCATCATCCTTCTCTGGAAGCAATCGGATAGGCAGAGAAAGTTTGGGCTGATTTTGCGCCATCAGCTCTTTATAAGAGTGCTCAGTCTGGCTAATAACATTCTTGAGCTGAAGCAGGTCCTGCTTGGCATTCTCAATACTCTTCTTACAGGCTTCAATCTTCAGATTCAGCTTGGCAATTTCACTGTTCAACTCTTGCCGCTTGGCTTCCAGCTGCAAGAGCTCCTCACTTACAGACTCACGAATCCGGCAAAGATCCAGCACGTGCTTTACCTCACATAGTTCATTACCAGCCCTTGGGCCAAAAATCCGCTTGCCTGCCTCATCAGCCTCATCCAGAGTGGTGAGATAATAGTGAGCAATCAGGGGGAAGAACACCAGAATAATGAAGAGCGTAAAGCTGAGCCATGTGAGTCGGATCCGGTTGGACCACCGTAACATACAGGTTTGACCTCCATTCCCCACTCCCCCATTCCGCAACATGGTATAGCCCGTCATGAGTTCCTGTGTGGCTTTTGCCCCCTCTAATCACGTTGGGTCACTCGCCATAACCGTGAGTTTCTATTAGACAAACTCAATCTCTTTTCACTCACACCTTTCTGTTAAGAGTTAGTGTGCTCCCTGCACAAGGCACGGAATAAAATGGAAATTTCATTTTCCTCAGCTGTAATTGAAATGGTCTCTGACCTTATTCCAGCAGATTTTAAGTTCTGGTTGCTGACCAATGGACATGTCCTTACTCTTTATCGAATGGTAAAAGATACCACACTGTTGATGAGATGAAAAGGAGAAGGTCTCTAATGATGAAACCCAGGAAAAATAACCTGAAATCAGACAGACTTTTTCAACTGCCATAGCTCTTGTTCCTTGGCTTTGCTGACCAACAAATACGCATAGTTACTATTCAGTTATAAAGTAGCTGGTTAGAACAGAAAGAAATGCCAGCCTCTTATCGATGTCATTGTCAACAATCAGGCCTGCAAAAGAAAGAGAACCATGTCAGTCTTGAAAAGATTATGTCCAACAACCCGCCCTCCCTCAGTTTCTAGAAAATGCTTCTAACTTAAAAGGTAAAGGAACAGCTGGAACACTGGGTGTGTGTCTCACAGAACAATTTTAAGTTCAGTTCACGTTGCATTCGGTATGGATATTTTCCTTGTGGTTAATTAGAAATGGATAAGGATAAGTGTCTGAAAACAGCTTCAGATTTTACACACACAGACATACATACCCTCCCTCCTATTTAACTAGATATAGAGCAGAATTAGAGCCTATAAAATGAAGATCAACTATATTCAACAGAGTGCAAAGATGTCTGCAACAATTTTTATTCAAGACTAAGGCAGCATCTTTAGATGGAGAGAAACACCATCCTATCCAGCCTTGATAGCCAGGTTTATTCCTAAGATGAGTCTCCTTTTGAATTAAAAAAAAAAAAAAAAAAAGGCTCTGAGAAGTTCAATGTTTTATATTGAGTTGAAACGAATTGAAGAGAACTCTTTTGATCTTTACCCAGTAGTAGGTGCATTAATCCAGAGACAAAATGTATTTCCCAGCTTGCTTCTCATTTATCTTCTGCTAACAGACATCATGTGCTCCTTCTTAAAATATAAATAGTAACTTGGTCTTTTAGAAAGACTACTATACTTAGAAATGAGGGCTATTATTTCTTCTCCTTTGGAGACAGATTTGCTATCAAACCTTATACCTCAGTTTCCTAATCTCCCAAAATGGAGAGAAGTGTACTGAGACAGAAACAATATATTGTGTTGCTATGACAAGAAAGGGCAAAAGATGCGAGGGTACTTTCAGCTAATAAATCTTGAAACAACATTCCCACTCCTGTTCATTTACCAAACTTTACTATCAGTGGCTACAAAAGCTTTTCACTTGCTTTCATCCCAAACTTAACATAGGTAGAACTGAATTCCTAATATTCTGTGCCAAAGAATATTCCCAATTTCTTTCATTCACTTCCTCCAAAAAGTATTTACCATACTCTTAACATGTCTAAGACATGTTCAGTATAACTGTGGAAGAAGCTAGAATGCAAAATAATCTTTGACCTTGTGCAACCTCCTTTAACCTAAGATATAAGATATATGCGAACAGCAGGGATACTGCTACAAGGTAGTATAATGTATGTAGCCCATCAACAGGTCTCCTTTCACAAACCTCTCTCTAGCTTCTATGTTTGGTAGAGATGTAAAATTATTAAAGTTTGGATACAGTCTTCTCTCCTTTAAACAAAAAATGTTGCCAATATTAATAAAAGGCCTGAGTAAGCAGAACAAGAGATAAGGACAACAGAAAACAAAAACTATTGATCACAAAAAAGCTTAAATTTGATGGATCAAACCTTGGATAAACAGCAAAGCAAATATCCCAGAGAACATAAGTCAATATTTCTAAAGCATTATCCTTCTAATTCAAATGTTAAAAATCTCTGTTTCCAAAAGAGTACTCTCTGCACCTTACAATCAAATTATAACAAAGAAAGAAGGAAGCGGAGAAAATAAAGGAATGCATAATCAAGGAAGTTCAGCTGATTCATTCCCTCCTTACCATATGTTTCTGGATCCTTCCTTTTTCTAACTCATGCAGCATTTTACTTCAGTATATAATTTCTTGAAATAGTGAACTCCAGGTCCAGGGTTTGCTCTCCTGATAGAAAACAGAAAGGTGACATGCTATTAGAAAAATACTCAATACTGGGGCGCCTGGGTGGCTCAGTCAGTTAAGTGTCTGCCTTCGGCTCAGGTCATGATCCTGGGGTCCTGGGATGGAGCCCTGCGTTGGGCTCTCTGCTCAGTGGAGAGCCTGCTTCTCCCTCTCCCTCTGCCTACTGTGCTCTCTCTCTGTCAAATAAATAAATAAAATCTTTAAAAAAAGAAATGAAAAATACTCAATACTAAAGGTGCTTACTGAAGGGGGGAGATGCCGGAGGAGTAAGAGAACCCTAGGCTTGCCTCATGGTCCTATGAACACAACTAGATAACTGCCAAATCATCCCAATATCCCAGAAATTGACCTGAAGACTGGCAAAACAAACTCCACAACTAAAGGTAGAAAAGAAACCACACAAAGAAGGTATGAAGTGCAGAGACGCAGTTTGGGAGAGAAATGGATCCTGGTCACTGTAGTGGGCAGGGAGCCACCGTGGCAAAGACGGGCAAGAGACAGACTAGCACCCACATGTGGAAGACAAATTCCTGTAGCAATGGCTTGGAAAGCAAGAGGGGCCAAATTTGATGAGTTCTTGCAAACAGTGGGGCTTAAAGCCTGGAGTTTTAAGAGTCCGCGGGCTTGGCTCAGGGAGAGCCTAGTGGGCATTGGGACTATTCTTGGAGAGAAGGCAGGGCAAACAGCCCATGGACATACAGTGTGGAAACATCAATCTCAAGAGCGCCTGGGACACACAGCGGGGAAGTTGTTTGCTCATCCAAATGGCGGTGTTTGCAGAGAGACCTGTCCAGGAATGAAGGAACTGCCCTGTACCACCACCCCTGCCCCCGCCACTCAGCATGAGCACAGGGTCACCTACAGAACCAGCACACCCCTCCCTGCCTCCCTGCCTAACTTGCTTACACCAAGTCATACAGCCCCCGGTGAGCTCCAGTGGAACTGTCCTTCCCAATCAGGCTTGCCTCAATCCCAGTATATTGGGCCCCCTACCCCTAAAGACTGGCACAACCTCCTGCCCACAACACATCTCCTGACCTGGGAGTTTTGCAGGGCCTCCGTTCAGGCAACAGTAGCAGCAGGTCTCATTTCACAAGCCGACCAGAGCACATTTAGTAAAATCTTGTCACATTCAGGCCAGGGACCAAACATTGCTCACAACAGGCAAAGACAGCCTCTGCAGATGACTGGCCTGAAGGATAAAGTAACCAGAACACAACAGCAGGGCGCAGGCAGCACACAATGGAGACACTACGTGAAGTGCCAGGCTCTGGGCAACAAGGGACACTGCACCACAGGGCAGTACTGGACCTCTTCTTCCTAAGGCCATTACTCTCAAGAACAGGAGACATAACTGATCTTCCTAACACAGAGAAACAGGCACAGAGACCTAGAAAAAAATGAGATGACAGAGGTTATGTGTGCTAGAGGAAAGAGCAGGACAAGGCCACAGCCAGAGATATAAGTGAAACTGATATAAGTAACATGTCTGATAGAGAATTTAAAGTAATGATCATAAAAATACTCGCTGGACTTGAGAAAAGAGTGGAAAGCATTAACAGGACAATTAACACAGAGATAAGGAGTAACATAGCAGAAATAAAGGGCTCAATAAACAAAATAAGAAGCACACTTGATGGAATGAACAGCAGGCTGGAAGAAGCAAAGGAACAAACTAACAAAATAGAAGGCAGAATAATGGAAAGTAATCAAGCTGAACAAAAGAGAGAAAAAAGAACTATGCCAAACGAGAATAGACTTAGGGAACTTAGTGACTCCATCAAACATAATCACATTTGTATCATAGGGGTCCCAGAAGAAGGAGAGAAAAGGGGGCAGAAAATTTATTTGAAGAAATAAGAGCTGAAAACTTCCCTAATCTGGAGAAGGAAAGATATCCAGATCCAGGAATTACAGAGAACCATGAACAAAATAACAGAATCGACAGCAAGATATACTGTAATTAAAATGGAAAAATGTAGTGATAAAAATTTTTTTAAACAGCAAGACAAAAGAAGACAGTAACAGAAGGGAAACCCCATAAGGCTTCATTGGATTTGTCAGCAGAAACTGTGAAAGCCATGGGAGTGGCATGATATATTCTAAGTACTAAATGGGAAAAATCTCCAGCCAAGAATACTCTATCCAGCCAAGAATATTCTATCCAGCAGAGCTATCATTCAGAATAGAAGGGGAGATAAAGAGTTTCTTAGACAAACAAAAACTAAAGGAGTTCATGACCACTAAACTAGCGCTGTTAGAAATATTAAAGAGGATTCTCTGAGTGGAAAGGAAAGACCAAAAGTGGCAGTATAAAAGTAGGAAACACAAAAGCAGTAAAAAAAAATGAATATTTCTGTAAAAATTCAGTTAAGGAACTCACAAAATAAAAGGATGCAAAGTATGACACCATATACCTAAAATGTGGGGAGGAGAGGAGAAAAGAATGGTTCAAACTTAAATGACCATCAACTTAATATAGACTGACATATGCAGAAGATGTTATATATAAACCTAATGGTAAGGATGCCTGGGTAGCTCAGTTGGTAAAGCATCTGCCTTCGGCTCAGGTCATGATCCCAGGGTCTTAAGATCAAGCCCCGCACAGGGCTCCCTGCTCAGTGGAGAGCATGCTTCTCCCTCTGCCTGCTCTTTGTGCTCTAACAAATAAATAAATAAAAATCTTTTAAAATTCAATAAATAAATAAACCTATTGGTAACCACAAATCAAAAACTACTAATATATATACAAAGAATAAAGAGAGAGGAATCCAAATATATCACTAAAGAAAATTAGTGAACCATGAAAGAGAAAGAAAAGCCTGAGAAAAACTTCAGAAACAACCACAAAACAAGGACTAAAATGGCAATAAATGCGTATCTATCAAAAATATACAATATATTGTGGTAATATATTATATATACATAGAAAACCCTAAAGACTATACCAAAAAACTACAAGAACTATATATATATAACGAGCTGAGCCATAATATATATATATTATATATATAATATTCCATTGTGTGTGTGTATATATATATATGGATTATTATGCAGCCATCAAAAGGAATGAAATCTTGCCATTTGCAACGACGTGGATAGAACTAAAGGGTATTATGCTAAGCAAAATAAGTCAATCAGAGAAAGTCACGTATCATATGATCTCACTGATATGAGGAATTCTTAATCTCAGGAAACAAACTGAGGGTTGTTGGAGTGGTGGGTGGTGGGAGGGATGGGGTGGCTGGGTGACAGACACTGGGAAGGGTATGTGCTATAGTGAGTGCTGTGA